TTTACGTATATTTCATATTTAGAACAATTTTTTCCTGTCTGCACTATTGTACCTGCTATAAGCTAAATCTAGGAGTAGTAAAAATCGTGTTTCTTGGGACGATAATATTTGAAATTGTTAACAAATGTCACGTATCTAATAGTTCAATATGAACATAAATTTGTAATTAATCAACCTCAACATTGTTAATTTAATTCCACCCGCACAAATAATTCAATAAAATTGTTCCAATTTACAAACGTTTAACATAATTATTAACGCGGTAAATTTCCTTTTAAGTTAAAAAGGGCAACATGACATGAGGAAGGTACGACATTATTTTAATGTAACCACAATCATTCTCTATCTACAATTTGGGTTTATACTAAAATAAACCAACGTTTTGTTTTGCAGCATATTTTTTTAAACTATGCAGGTATTTTAAAGTTACTCTAAGCATTCGATTCTCAACCCTGATGTCCTGCATCCGATCCCCTGTCACGTGCATCAATATTCGTGTAAATCTAAAATCGATGACTTGTTAGTACATATATACGTATAGTTTGTCGTGCTTGATTTTATAACATTTTGTTAAGAATCTTAGTAATATTCTGTATTAAATGTCACTGGTCTTATTTTAATTCGATTTCGCATTTGTTTCTTCTATTTATGTTGTAGCCCTGTCTTTCAACATAAATAATATCAACTCAAAACAATAGAATGTTTCCTTTTGATTGCACGTAACAAAGATAACCGCTTAATAGATGTTTTGTTCCAGATTGCTTCAACTCCGCTGAACTACGGATACTATCACTACCCATACGACCACTACGACAGACGAAGTAACGATGGTCTGCTTACCGCTTTAAAAAATCTCAGAGCAAGACAAAATGACGGTCAAGATAAGCTGATAACTCCCATTAATATCAAACCGATTATATCGCAGCCGAAAGATAAACATGATCGCGAATTCCCTCATAGTCTCAATAGTGCACCTATAGATACACCTATAGTTGATTTAACAACGCACCCGGGAGAGGTGCAAGCCACATATTCATTGGAATTGCCATATAATGGTTTGAACTTTCGTGCTTCCCCTAATGTCGTTTCGACTTGATGTAATTTTTCATCTTTTTAACGCACTATTAAGTGTCATTTCTAATATACGTAGTCGGTCCCAAAGTTCTGTCATAAATGGAAATAATGATAAAAACAAAAGTACTGATCAGTTTGTAATGAGTGATATATCAATTCTTAGTACATTAATTAAGGAATAAAAAAGCATAAAAATATTCGAAATAACCTCCCTCATTTTTAATACAGGCCCTTAAGCGTCGCGGCCAGTCGTCTATCGCAGCACGCACCATATTCGTGTCGATTTCAGTCACTGGTTTTTTTAAAGATGACTTCAGATTCTCCAAATTTTCATGAGGTTTATCACAGACCTTCCTCTCTAAGCCCTGTCATAATTTCTGGTCCAAAGGATTAAGGTCCGGACTGGAGGAAGGCCAATCCTCATGTCTAATTAAGACGATGTTTTGACGCTCAAACCAGGCTTTAGTGGTCTTGGCTTTGTATGCAGACGCAGAGTCCTGCTGGAACACGAAGTGATGTCCCGCAAATAGGGTGCTGGACATGTATTTGACAAGGCGATACAAAACCGTCTCTTGGTACACTGTAGCACTGGTTTTGACCCCCTTTTCGAAAAAAATAACCTCAGTTAGCCCGTAATAGGACACTCCCAACCAAACCATTACTGATGATGGATGATGTCCATGTTGCACCCTTGGAACTTTATTTTCAGCTTCTTCAGAACTCCTAGCGTACACTGTATAATTCTGTTTATTGTACTTCTCTTCAATATCGAAAAATTTTTCGTCCGTAAAGAGGATATCACGGTCTCGGTTTTTCGCGTACCGCTTAAACAACACCCGCGATCTCTTAAGCCTTATTGCTTTTAGACGAGCATTAAGTAAGTGCCCACTCTTTTTTTGTATGCTCGTAGACCAAGATCTTCATTTAAAACCTTTTTTACTGTTTTCCTACTGACACCCATCTGCAAATCCATCAACTTCTGTTTTCGGACAGGATTTCTTACTATCCGCGCCTTGATAGCTTTGATTACTGCTGGTGTTCTTGCGGAGCGTGGCCAGCCAGTTCTTTTCTTGTCCTCAACACTGGAGACTTCAAGGTACCTATCAATAGTACCGTACACAAACCTAAGCGTTATATTCAAATTTTTGAGCAACTTGAAAATGGTACTCGGCGAGTGTCCACAGCGGTGCAACGCAATAACAACTATTCGGTTTACTTTCAATGTCCACTCCATCAAGAAAAATTACGGAAAGTTATTGTTTTTTGTTTTAAAACAATAATCAAACATTCCAAAATAGAATGCAATAATTTTTTTATAAAATCCTGCTCGAAATGTAGAAATAATGTGCTAGTGACAGAACTTTGGGACCAACTACGTATATTCATATGTTTATTATATTATATATCCTAAAAATGTAGTAGTGTATTAGTGAACAAAATAAAAAAAAAATATGTTTTTCAATATTTTTACTCTAAATCCGCCCTCCGCCTTTAGTGGGTACTTTAACATGGAGTTACGGCATCAGACGAAACAGCAGAAGGCCAACTTCGACTTATCTTGCTTTATAAAAAATATTCATTTAGGGCCCCAGCAATTTGTTTGCTGTCCCCATTGAGAGCTTATATGTAAACAAACCAATTTTTATATAATAATTAATTAGAGGCCCTAGTTTACGCATGGATTTCTTTAGAACGACCGAAAGTTAAATGGAAACATGTAAACATAGTAACATATAGATTTTATCAGTTGCATACACTCCTTCATTAAGTTTAGTTTAAATTGCTAATAATGCCGTTTTAGTTTGAAATAGGATAAAATTAATACACAATGAAATATGAGTTCCCGGTAGGGGTCGAACGTAACTCTTAAGACTACGTTGGAGAATTTTTATTGCCGTAATAAACGCTAATGGAGATGTTATTTACAAAAGTGTTTAATTTTTCCAACGGTGACGCAAATGTATTATGTATTAACTGCCCGTAATAAATACGTTGTACGCTTAAACAAGATCCAGAGAATACTCAATAACGTTTTTTTTAGTATTTTTAAATTGAATACTTCTTAAAACGTACTGGCGGGATTTGTGTCAGTGTGATTGTCAATCTATAAGCCACTTCTCTCATGTTCTTAAGAAAAACTTATACGATAAACAATACTAAAAATATTACTCCATATAAATCTTTATTACTAATCCCAATTGCACAATTGACTTTTATAGGACTATGTACCGCGGAATTCCAAAGTTTCGAGCGCATATTGAAACACGGCGTACACTGAAGATATAGAGAATCGCTGGATTGCTTAAAAATAATGAATATACGTATTGGAACGAATAATGGAAATAAACGTATTTTATTTTCACACAAATAACGATTTAGTATTTATACATTGTGTCTGTAAAAGTGTTACGTGAGTATATGGGCCGCGCTTAGATTTTACAATAACACAGTTATAAAAATCTTTATTACTTACCTTTAGGTAATTAGATAACGTAATGTCTGCAACGAGTATTTTTTTCAAATTTTCCCATATAACACATATCTGTATATTTAATATGTACTAAATTTTTGCAATTGAATACTGCTTTGCAGAAACGTACATAAACCAAAAGGTTTTTACGGAAATATGGACAACAAACAACAACAAGAAACTCATTGCGTAATATTTAGTTTTATTTAGACATTTATTTACTCAAAATGAAATATACTAAAGATTATGACGATTCGCGGTCCCGTTACCTTGTTAGATCTTATTACGGGCGCTAATCATTAAAATTGGGGCGAAATAGGATGCGACTCCATTTTATCTTTGAGACGTTACATTTATTTAAGACAAAGATTACAATTAGGCTATGATAATTTTTTACTTTATCGACAATAGCAATTTCTTGTAATGTAATGTAATCTTATACAAAGTAAAGATTTAGCCAAAAGGATCCGAGGCTTCATTATGTATTTTTCTAAATATTTTTAAATTTCGAATAGTTTTAAACACTAATACTTAAAAAATATTTATTACAAATCGATTACTCTTAATATTACTTAGGTGCATGTAAATTATAAACATTTTCAAGAGGCTTTTTTCCTGTTCGCATGGTTCCACTCATCCTATTGCCTGGTCGAAATGGATTTTTTTCTTGATAGTAAAAATGTCTCAGGTACATCACTGCCCTTCTAGTAAATATCTATAAATACAATAAACAGTCTTCGTCATTAACTGTTACATTATAATAGGGTGTTGTGAGTGACACCCACGTACGTCCATTATCCATTTCGCCTGAACAAATATCACATGTCATATCAATAAACTAAGATCTCCATTATCAATGGCTATTCAATATAAAACCAAAGAAATGTCACCACTATGACCTTAGTATCTTATACTAATCTAATAGAATGTTAATAGAAAATACATACCGCAAAATGTGAATGAATGATATTAACCTTTACAAGAATGTAGGGGATCAGCCTTCGATAATGTACTCCCGTGCCTCATGGTATTGTAAATGTCTTTCTTAAAAAATAAAATAATTATCTAAAATGCCACTATGAATTCCACGAAGGCGAGATCTATAAACAATGTGCTACGTTTTAATCTTTGGCAAACATTGATAACATTTTACACATTATTTAACACCTGACCTAAACACAGTTGTTTAAAATTTTCAAACTGTGTAATCATTCCATTTTTAAAATATTAAAAAGGACGCCACAGATCTGTAAAACAGTTGTGTATTCCAATTTCAAATTTTTTTTTTGATTTGGTTTAAACAAGTATAAGTAAACGTGAAGCGCATACAAGGGTGCGCAGTGAATTTGTGTTCCTATAAAGGGAGCCGGCAAAAGCTGCCCCATTCACAACTTGTTCGACGCCGACGTCACTAGCTCGAACTTTCGCAACTTTTATTGAAGTGACAACTGTTATCATGAGGACGGTATTTTGCCTTATTGCTCTGGTGTTTATGTGTAATGGTATTAGCGGCTTGCTGCTGCCGGTAAGTCCATATTTTTAACATATTATCCTAATTTCCGTAATTACGATACATTTATTTTTTCTTTAAGTAATAATAATAAATAATAATAAATTGTTTTAACTAAAAATGTTGAAATGTTTTATATAATTAAGAATGCAGCATAAAAATTTTAAATCATGTATTGAAGGTTGTTGAAACATATTTACAATGATTATAATTTTAATTTTAATTAAAATTTAAAATAACATTGCAAAAAGGTTTTAAACATTTGGTTATAAAAAGAAAAAATCTAATAAAACATAGATTTAAATAACGATTATAGATAATAATATCCTCTTAATACAAATGATATGTTGTAGTCTTAATACTATTGAAAAAGTAAGTAAAAATAGTTCAGTGAAATCATATTGATGTTATCTTTAGCACGCTTATAGCACAAGACATCTCTTCAAAACATCAACAAAATTATAAACCAAGGCAAATATTGCGATTATAAAGTTTAAAATCTACAACAAACAAAGCTGGAAATTGTAATCTAGGCAGAAGAAACAAACTTAACGCTGAAATGAATTTAATGAAATTTGCTGTTCTGTAGACAAAGTGAATTTTATAGCAGCCTTTAGCGTGCTTAAAAGAGCAGAGGTATTTGATCGTAGTGGTATGCTTAACCTTTGACAGCATTGGATGAAACTTTTTTTTAAATATTTAAATAGCTCAAATTCTTATACAGATAAAAATATTACACTTCTATTTATCAGTTCTATTGATTTGACACCGAAACAATATTTGTTTCGGGGTTTTTTGTATAGTGGGTACATTTTATTAGTTTGGTCCCGCTAATCCGCAAGAGCTTTTAATTGCTATAGAATAGGAAGGGTGAGGTTAAGTTTACCTGGAGTTTTATTGTATATTAATATTGTTTTAATTAATTTTTTATAATTGTATATTTGTGCAGTTGCAGTAAAAATTTGGGATTTTCTTATTACCGAGTTAGAAATTGCCTTTAGATCTCGTGTACGACTTACACCCGGTTTCTGTATTTAGAATACCAGTCATCAGTTCAGTAATCAGTCATTGGTTCTAGACGATTTTTTTATCCTCTTTCTGTTCTTTGTCTGGGCATTGCAGGTTAGGGGCCTATAGCCTATTTCTAACTCATAAAGCTACCGTATTTAATTACATAAAACATACTTAATAAGGCTTGTTAGATGTTCAAACTTGGAAAGCTAGAAGCTAATTAATACAAATACGTAGTAAAAACTTTTAATTGTGTAATAACTTATATGAGTAACGAAGGTATAGAGTTTAAACACAATACCATATTATAAAATTTTCTTAAATACATTATCAGAAAGAAATAAAGCAATCAATCACTTTTCAAAAATAGTCTTGAAAAAACATATAGCATATCCGACATGCTTATGAGAAATACAAATATTTTTCGAAAATGAAATATATTGTACCAGTTATAGCTACGTCAATTGCAATACTTAAGAATTTAAAGTGAATGCCTTAATCAAATTAAATATACTGGGTTGACATGAAATGGTGAGAAACTCTGTCAACCAAAGGGCGTTCCAACCTTATCAATTCCGTGGAAATTATAATTTTCATTTAAAGTAAGTAAATTTAATCCTTTTTGTATATAAAATTAATACTGATAGTATATATGAGTAAATATTGTGTTAAAACCGACAAGTCTTCGATTAAAACGATTTGGTTTAGTTTAGACTAGCGGGGACTATAAGTATGTTCTATGCCTTTCATAAAAAAGGCCTATCCCTTTTAAGATATTTAAAAAGACTTTTTGCAGTCTCATAACACCTCCATAATCAGGGCTGCTTGTGCTAAATACATTTCAGCGTTTGTTTCATTAATCATTAGAATCGGCCTACTGCATTGGTCAACCCGAAATATTATTTAAATATTATTATGATTAATGGTTTGCCGGAAAGCGAGACTCTGATACATGAAATCGAACAATCTACACAGTACTAAGGTGTATGTATCGGTAACTTAAGGTAATTTATGCTATGCTCTGCGCTAGCTTTAACTTGAAAAGTTTAATTAAAAGACTTACAATATTTCTCCTCGGTACACGATGATATGCTATGAATTTTAAGAGCTTGTTTTGAAAAGGATTTATTAATTAATTTTACGACGGACAATCTACGCTTTTAGTCTTTAACTGCTTACGGCACATTTATAATACGTTACTGCAATACATACCGAATTTAAACGTATTTAATCAATATTTGCTGATTTTAGACCTGGGCCGATTTTTGAATTATAAAAAATAAAGATTATTCATAGACATAACATTTATTACTAAAAAACACACACACAAAATAACAATAGTCAACGAAAAATATAATGTGATATAAACATTTTTTTTTCTCTTTTCCCATTCGGTTCGTTTCAAGTTTGTAATACGTGTGTGCTGTGGTTATAATTGGCCCTGGCTCAGCATTATGCTGAGGAGCATAATGTTCCACAGCGCTGATCATTGTGGTAGTGGTATTTAAAATATTTTGGTCAAGTGCCGTTCAAAAGTAATTTAGGGACATCAAAGTAAATTTCCTTTAGTATGAACATAGAATTTCAATTAGAAAGCTATATTGTTAGGAAAATCAACACTTACATACGCTGATTATGTTAAAATTGCGCCGTAAATATACGGCTATAAAATCCAACCCGAATAAAGAAGTCACATACATTTAAATCAAAGTAAGTTTTCTTAAGCCTTTAAAGCTTTTACAAAATTGTATCGAGCCTTGTTTATTTTTTACAGATAGAGATTTCAGCAAACTGTGGTTGGATAAAATATTCACGTAAAATTCATTAATCACACTCCTTTAAGAGCGGCCAACCCGTCTATCTTTTGATACAAACGCTCGTACGTGATTATGACGTTGTAACAGATATTTCTTTGAAAGTTGTGAACTAATAGGCATCTTGTGCATCATATCTAGGTTTCTATTAAAAAGCGAAATCAAAATTTTAAGAAATAAATTCAGTACAAACCTCCATCTGCCTTTTTGCACAAATTTTATATGAAGTTTGGGCGTTTATAATGTACTCATTAATTGTAACCGGACAGAAATATTTCCATAGAAACCTTGCAAATGTAATGGAGTTTCTAAATGTAAAACTTTTTTTCATAATCTTGTAAGGCTTACGAAAAAACACGTATTTCTTGGAACACGTTTTATGAAATTTCCGCACACTATTTTTCTTTCAATGTTATCGCGTTCTCACTTGCTTGTTAGCCATGTGGATGAAACAACAAGTTTTTGGCCATGCTCGCGTTGCCGTTCGTCGGACGGGGAAGGGCGCTCTTAAAATCAGTATTATATTTTACCGACACTAATCTATTAGATTGGGGATTTTGTTACTTTATTAATTATACTTGACAACTACTTAAAGATATCCTAAATGAAGATAAAGCACACGCAATAAGTCCTCAAAAGATAATGGTTGGCATTATACTGCCTCATAAAGAAAAAGAGTGGAGCTACAGCCTCAAGTTCTTGACCTCATATTTTTTTATCTGTTTTGGGATCTTTTATTCTTCGTAATAGTCAAGTGCCTGACACATGCCATGACATCGAGAAAAAATATCGTGAGGAAACCGACATGTCTTAGACCCAAAAAGTCGACGGCGTGTATCAGGCACTGGAGGCTGATCACCTACTTGCCTTTTAGATTTAAAAATGATCATGAAACAGATTCAGAAATCTGAGGCCAAGAGCTAAATACGTTGTAGCGCCACAGATTTATTTTTAATCTTAAAGGATTCTAATCCTGTCATTAAAAAAAATTAATCCCGATTTAGATAAACCAGATAACACTTTGATGTAAGAACAATTAACAAACTGTAATTGCTGTAAACAAACTGAATGTTACATCAATTGAGAATTGAAACTACTCTCGCTAAACTAAACAAACGAATAATCTAAGTTTAATTGCGTCGTCACTATTGGTTAAAATGATTAGCAAAGTTAAAGGTTGGTGAAAGAGACGTTTTCCCAATACTTTGAGCTTAGCTCGAAAGTCTTGAACCCTGAAGAAAATATTGTAAATATATTTTTTTATATATCAGCGGGCAAGAGGTTTACTTAGGTATGTTAAGTGATACCGCCCATGGACACTCACATTGCCACAGAAGGCAAGCGCTTTGCCGGCCTTTTACGAATTGTTACGCTTGAAGTACTCTAAGTCGAATTGGTTCGGAAATACTTCAGTGGGCAGCTGGTTCCACATAATGGTGGTGCGGGGCAAATGCAGCCTTAGGAAACGCTCAGTTGTAATTATAGATGTCGAGGTGAGACGGGTGATATATTCTTCTGCTGAAACTCAACTGCTGGTATTAATCAAAACAACTCCTCTGAACACTCTCGCATTTACCATGCGGTACAAAATGCAGAGATGCATCCACATCTCTACGCAACGCCAAGGGGTAAAGCCGATCGGAAAGTGACTGGTCGTCGACGATTCGAATCGCTCATGTGGGGCCAAGGCCTATTGCATTGATTCACGCCGGTTTTCTATGAGACAGTGGAACTGCTCCGGTCTTGCCTCCCCATTTGGCTGAAGCCCGAAGACAACAGCATGACACTCCCACTAGGAATGGGTTGAATGATTGCGCTGGTGAAATAACCTCTGTCAAAGGTTAGTTCACCAGTGGGCGATGGGGTCGTCACGTCCCGACGCCGGGAAAACGCAGCAAGATCGCCTGGAACAACGACTATTCTGTAAAACATAGAAAAATGCGGTTTGTTTTACTGGAATTGTAGGACTTTGCATTAAACCACGTTTCTCAGTTTATTACTTTAATCACATTTGAGAAATCATAATAATACATAATATTACAGTAAATTAGTAACAATGCCCGAAACTGAAAGAATTTACATTTGATGTGAAGTAAGAAATAATGTGTTTTAACTTACCTTTGTGTAAAGATTTTGTGTTATCTGTAATGAACATTTTGAATCTTTACCTTTAAACATTTTTCTATGAATAGAAAAGCCAATCCACTCCAATCCAGTACCACGTACATACTACACAATAACAAGAATAATGTTCGTCTCTTTCGGTTTCCCGTATAATAGATTTTTCTTTGCCCACGTTTCCTTATAATGTCACAGGCATTAGAGCGTGATTAACATATATCTGAGATGACATAAGTTCGCAGGGATTACGGTACGCCTCAAGAGATGCGCCGTTGTCGTGGTTCTCGAGAGTTCGACGACAGCCACTTCTCACACATCGTGTCATAGATATAAATCAGGGTTAGTACTCATAAAACAATTCTGAATATACTGGAGTAGAGATATGGTATGAATTTCATGTCGAGGCTTCCTTGTCTGATTGTGATTTTTACATTCATGATATTATTTCATAAATATATTTTTGCTGGCAGGTCTTCATGTTTCAGACAATCTAGAATTTTCTAATATAAGAAAATTATATTGCATGAGATATATTGCTTTTAAATTAGTTTCTTTTATGTATCTATGGAATTAGTACTAAATTACTGTTCCAACCGAATAAAATGAAATAAATATCTGTATCGTGTATAGTATATATTGCTACTTAAATGTGGTTCATAGATTGTTTCATGGTTACGTCTGAAGAGGGGGAGTTATTCTTCAAGTCACCGACCGATGACCCAGTGGTGTGCGGTATCTACATGATAGCTGAGCCCGATAAACGAATCCAGGTCACCTTCAACTACCTCGACGTGCCCTGCGATAATGGGGGACTTGTAGCGGTGAGGTTTTAATTGGTTTAATTTTTAAAAGCACTTTATTGAATAAATATAATGTATACTAGCTGCCCCCGGGAACTTCGTTTCTCCTTAATGCGATTTTAGCCTACCTTTTTAGTACATACCAACATGGAACATTTTACTATGCTACCTCATTAACTGTTCGGTTTTCCGGGATGAAAACTTTTTAGATTATGCTGTGATTTTTCTCTATATAAACCTCGGAGTGCAAGTTATAAGTTCTTAACTAACAAATAAAAAATAAAGGTTGATCGTAAAAGGTAGTTGAAAATTAAGGGTTGCATGTATTTTTGTATGATGTATCATAAAGAAATATAAACAAAAAAAATTGTCTAAAAAATAAAAAAATGAAGTTTCGGGGTGGACACTCCTTATGGTGATAAATGGTCACTTAGGGGTTTGAAAGATAGATAGTAGCCGATTCTCAGACTTACTAAACATGCATAAAAAATTTCATAAGAATCGGTCGAGCCGTTTAGGAGGGGAACGAACATTGTGACACGAGAATGTTATATATTAGATATAATGCTTAGTAATTCATGTAGGTACCTAAAATTCGGAGTTGAACACTTCTCGTTCCACAACTTGAATATATCAATATTTATCTTAATTTTACCTTCGTGTCATAATAAAGCGAATGATATGGGCTACGTTCTAATACTGGGTAGATAATGTAATCTCGTCGTCCACCGCTCATTCTATTCAGAGTTTTAATACAATCTTCGTTACGTTGTTCACGAAGTTGGGACAGGACTGAAAGTTTTCAAATTGTAGTTTAATCTTCTAATAGATCTTTCAGCTACTTAAGAGCTAAGCTTGTGTACAGAATGCAACTTCAGGTTTCTTTTTGCGTTGTCTTTTGTACTTTGACAAACTCCTAATACTATAAAGGAATCTGTGACTGAAGTATTGAAACACGTAACGTAATAAGATCTATCAAAAATAGTCCAACAACATTGGAGGATTTTATTAGACGTAATTATTTTTATTAGAAGTCGCTCTAATTTTGAAACATTGTCGAATTTCATTTCAGCGTGGCGAATAAAAAGTACATACTCCTTGCTCGATCAGATTTTTGTATATTTTGATAATTTTATTTCGTTAATACGCCAATAAATCAAAGTGAAATTATATGTTTAGGAGAAATTTGTTTTTAGTGGATAGATGGATGGGAGTTAAACGGCCAAGTGTGGCCGGCGGATTCCTGGGATGATGATAGAATGATAGAGTCTTGTGACCGAAGACCGCAGCGTAAGCTTGTTTCGCGTCAAAATGCGGCTCTCATACAATACCGAGTTCCAGCTCGGGGAAAGGGCTTCGCTGTCACAATACGACATCTGAAGAACACACGACGTAAGTTCTTATACCTACGTATCATTTCATTTAATTAACATACTATGTGCTTTATAGCATATACGGTTTTAGTGAAGATATACAGACTTCATTATAGATTTATCTAGGAATATTGTTGCAGAAATTTGGTTTCAGTCGTTCAGTTGGTTTTGAATATTTTTTTTATATATATATATATAAATAAATATAATTTATATATATTTTTTAAATGTGAAATATGTTCATTCTTTTTTCAAATAGATAAAAAATACTTTTGGCTTACCCCCTTTACTTTGTTTACAGTGCAAGAATATTTCATAAGCTCTTTCATTTTGTTGGTTATTTTTACTAACTTTTAATACGTATTAACTTTTAATATTCATTTGCCTAATTTTTTAATTATGTTTTATTTAAATAAAACTTACATATAGCCTTTCGCTGACCCTAACAGCTGAAAATTATTAAATGTTATTTTAGTTAAACCCTCGCAAATCAACGACAAAGAATTTACAGATCAGTTTTGTGTTATTTTACATCATAAATAAATATATTAGATAAGAAATCAAAAATATATTTATACCTGAACCGTGATCAATTCCATGATTAAGTTATTTCGGTTTGTCCTGTTTGTGTATCGCGTTATAAGTAATAACTTTCTCTGTATCTCGAATTGCTTTTAGCGACAAAATGATTTCGGTGTAATTACATTTTGTCCATTATATTGAGTTACAGAAAGCTATTATTGTTTTGTAATAGAGGCGCTTCTTGTCGCGTAATTTGACTCGAATCTTCAAATTAGTATGGCAATCGTCGTATATTTAAGTTTTCTTTGTTATTTATAAATATTTAATAAAGTATTCAAATATTAACTATACGTATATTAAAAATATTTTTCTCTTTTTTACTTAGTTTTAACGTCGGAACTAGAAAACCAGAAATTAGTTTCAGCTTTCACCAAGATGGAATGGTTTTCGTTAATTACTTGTATGAATATAAAGATACTACTGTAATCAATTTAACGAAAAAATTACGACACATTTAAATAAATCATTAGTTAATTGCATTATTTCTTTAACAAATTGCGATTATATCAGTTACGGAAGATAGAAAAATCTTTCAGTGTTGTGAATATAGCGGTAAGTGTAAATATGTATAGACCACAAGCCCATGAACAAAAAATACCTGTGAAATACCCAAGTAATTACGCTTAGAAGGCTGTTACTATATCTGAAAATAGCTCTGAGACTTCGTCATTTCTGACCGGTACATTAGTACGTGAGTGAATGGACTTTCTCTGTACAATGGGGAATTTCGACTAATTATTAATGTACGGCTTTGTTATAAGTGTATAGATGATTAAAAATAAATGTCGAAAAACCTAGTGCCGTACAAAAGTGATGGTGCCGGAAGTCGGTGCAAATTTTTAATTCGACGACAGTTGCAGGAGCAATATAGGTCATTTATTACTGTACGGCTTTGTGTCATTCCTTGGAACATATACAGATACTTTACCCGTAAACGCCGTAATATTTCCAGCGGAGCGGTCGAAAGCCAAGGGTCGGAACCCTACCCCTACACCCATATACCCTAAGGTCATTGTAAAATGTACGGCAACATGTTCAAAATATTATTTAACACGGACAATAATGTTTTATAATTATGCCGTCCAAAAATTTAGTTAATATTTGTGTAATTAAATATTTATCGAAATTTCAGGATTTACCAAGTTCTTACTGCTGTAAGATCAGAGAATAATGTACGGCAACTTGTTTTTTACATAATTTTACTAAATATTACCGTTGTACATTATAGCCGTTCATTATAAATGGTAACAAATAAAAATATTATGATAAAAAATATATGAAATTTCCGAAACTTAGATGACTTTTCAAATGCTCCTAGAGTAAATGGGGAGTAATATTTTCAAAGATTATTGTTATTTTATATGTAACAAATATAAATAAACAAAAAAACCAGATGCCGTACATTTTACTCCAGATTATTCTTTACAGCTGATAAAAACTTCACGACGTTTGAGGTGTCCCTTAAGGTCATTAATAACTGTACATATCTGAGTATACTACCATAAGGCTGTAAATATTTTACACCTTATCGTACCAAAGAGAGAGGTAAAGGAAAAATATTTTTAACAAAAATATATATAATACAGGGCGTCCCAAAGTTATGAGACATGAAGGAAAGTACCTTAAATATCGCAGATAGGGTATTTTACAAAAGAAGACTTTATGTTATTTATAAAAGTTAGTAATTCTGCATTCAAAGATTTTTTTAAAACTACTTGCCTCGTCTGGAAATCGAACCGGCTAAATTAAAAAAAAAAAAAACCCTACTATGATGCCAATCGAAAGAATTGAAAAAGAGAAACTAATAACTTTTCTAAAGTAACAGACTCGTAGGGGATTTTTTTAGGCCGAATACGATAGATAATGTTTTTAATTTGATTAAAAAGATATATTCACTTCATCAGACTTCCGGCACCATCACTTTTGTACGGCACTAGGTTTTTCGACATTTATTTTTAATATCTATACACTTATAACAAAGCCGTACTAATAATTAGTCGAAATTCCCCATTGTACATGAGAAAGTCCATTCACTCACGTACTCACATTACCGGTCAGAAATGACGGCATAGTGCTCAGAGCTATTTTCAGATATAGTAACAGCCTTCTAAGCGTAATTCACGTTGGGTCATTTCACAGGTATTTTTTGTTCATGGGCTTGTGGTCTAGTATTGAAATAAAACAAAAATGTTTCGGAACACGGATGTTTTGTTAAAAAAACGGTCCTTTACAAAATGTGTACACATAGATACATACGTTTTTATTATGAAAAACGGTAAACAGTAGTAACAAAGACAGTGCTAAGTTAAGTCCAGCTTTTTTAATAAGATGGATAAGTATGGAAACTTTATCTGCAGCTTGCAATCTAATGTTGTTCGGCGCTGAAGGCGTCTACACGCTACGCAACCACGGCGAGGCCGGAAACTGTTCTATCATAGCAATATCTCCCACAACAGTTCGTGTACTGGACTTGAATGTTGGCCAGACGCTAAAAAGAGACACGCTACTAGAAATGGAGACCGGGACTATTCACCGTGTATGTACTTATTTAACAAAATATACTTCTTGTTTGTATTGTTCCTGTTTGCCTGAGAGTTTGCGTTGTTTAGGCAACGCGTAACGTTTTCCGGAGTTGATTAAAACTATGCTTAATATTCAACTGATTGACTCTATATTGAATATATATATTATAGTAGTATTATCTCTATCACTCTTATTTTAGAATAAAAATGACATTAACATTAATTTTTTTTTATATGTGTGTTCTTTTATTTTTCAAAATTTTGTTGGCTTCAGAGCGTGATTCTCATCCTTGAGGTCATAGGTTAGATACCATGCTGTGCACCAATGGACTTTCTGTCTATGGGCGCATCTAACATTAGCTAGTACGGCGAAGAAAAAAATCGTGAGGAAACCGGCATGTCTCATATCCAAAAATCGTTACTGTAAGATTTTGACCGATTACCTACTTGTTTATGAAATAAAAATGTTCAAAGAAACGATTAGACTCTGAGACAGGGTACAACCCTAGATGGGTCTTGGCACCAGTGGAGTATTATTATTATATTTTAATATTGCATCGCGTAGTTGTTGATCGGAGCTAAATCTATACACATAGCCTTTGAGATGAATTGACGATTTTCCAGCACACTCGTGCGTACTTAATTAGATGTTATTCAAACAATGTGTTTGTCAGTGCACAAAGCGTGGCCTACCGGATTACGTGGACATTGGAGGCGCAAGCGGCCTTGACCACACCCGAATGGAAGTTTTCGACAGCTTGTGCGGCTTAGATTCTATTGAAGGTAAGTTCACATACTATTTAACGATACTTCTGGAGTTGTTTGCAAAAAATAGTGTTATTGCTAACCTATCAACATTAACTAGTCCCATATTGTACATGTTCTCTGTCATGTCATATCAGTAATGATACGGTTGATAGATTTTGATTGACACTTGGATTGTATCTTGAGTTGGAATATACCTGATTTATATCAACTTGCATAATATTATATAACTTTCAGTTTGCGGTTAATTTGTGGACAACCTTTTTGAAGACGATTCAACGACAGTTAAAATGAACTATTGTAGTTTTTGTTTGTAAATATTGAGAAATAATTAATCACTAGGTTAGTTCTTAGTTAGCCAAACCGATTATTTTTTAAGGAACATATTGTGTACTTGAAAACTATTTTTTTTCAAAATCGTTACATTGCATTAAATGTTTACTCAATTACTATAATATTAATTATGACGTTTAAAGATAGCGATTTAATGTTTATTGGTTACAATAGTATAAAAGTTTTTTTAAAGTTGTGGCAGATAAGAGAGAAGGGAGAGAGAGAAAGAGTTTATTGCCAGTTCTTCTCTTGCGTTCTACGCCCTTAATTTGAGAACTGGCAGTAAATGTATAATTAGAAGATATTTAATGTATATTTCTTTTTTGACGTTCATAAGTGTACATTGTGTTACCTACATGAATAAATGACTTTAACTTTTTGAGATATTAGCGAATTCTAAAGTCTAATAACATCAATCAACATATTATTCAGAAAGCAACTTAATTTAGAGACATCAATCGATCTGGCTTCGATTTTGACAGCGTTAATTTGTTTTTCAGTACGAATTTCTGATCTAATTTTTGTGTCATTAAATATGTAAGATTTCTATCCATATTATGAATAGCAGTGTTGGCCTAGTGGCTTCAGCTTGCGACTCTCTCCGATGAGGTTTTAGGTTCGATCCCCGCTGTGAAGGAAAACATCGTGATTAAAGCGTGTATTAGACCTAAAGAGTCGACGGCGTGTGACAGTAACAGAAAGCTGATCACCTAAGTAGATGGTAGGCAAGTGTCTGTCACCGTAAAATTGTAAACACCGTTAGATTGTAATCTATCTCGCGAGATTGTAAACTGTCGAAAGATTGTGAACTCAACGTACTGCTTACAATTTAACGTATTATTATTCGGTAGATTGTAATCTGTCGAAGTGAAACCGTCAAATTGTGAAACGGCCATTTTCTACTTTTCTATTGGTTATAAGTGATGTGACATTCTCGTTTTCTATTGGTTATAAGTGATGTGACATTCTCGGTAAATTAATCGGATCGACTATTTCCTCATTTGTTATTTTTAAAGTTGAACCTAATCGAATCGATTATTTCCTCATTTGTTAATTTTAAATTTAAACCTAATTTAACCATTACTTGTCAAATCTACATACATTACATTAACTTCATGTTTCATTTAGTGTATGGTTCCGAAAAATTTTAAACAGATACAGAAATCTGAGGCCCAAATCAAAGAGGCGACTGGTTTTTTTTGTTACAGCAAAGTAAACAATACGAAACAATTAACTCCCGCGTCCTTAAGGGTTAACGTTTACTTAAGCATTTGGTAAAAATTAAAAAATGTTAATTGATGTGGCTTCTTGTCAGACTCGTCCTCAAACAGAATACAGTTAGATATAATAATTCGTAAGTGCTGTAGAAAACTTATGTTGTTGCACTTATAATACTATTGTTTTATAATCAGACGCTTGTCGCTGCTAAGTTACACTGGTATGTAGGGGAAGATCGTTACCCTTCGTACGCGGGGCACATTCATACAGTCAAAATAAAACTTGAACGAAACAAAGTACAGTCTTGTTTTTGTATGTGTGCATGAGTCGAGGTACGAACTATACATCAACGAAGTTTGGTGAAATTCGCACCGATGAGAGTGAAGCTTCAGGCATGGACGTGTTTTCGCGCTCGGTAAGTAATTTTTTGATCAATGTTTTTTGCTCTTGTTACCGTAGATAAAATAAGTTTTCGTGTAGAGTATTCTATCAGTAACTAGCAAAATATACTTAAGATACGTCTCCAATACTTAATTTATGACGTTTTCCTTTTAATATTAAAATAAGTTATATTTTGTTGTTATTCAGTTAGTGGGGTACTTTCGGACAGCACTAGATGGGGCACATTTGAACGAATTGTACAACTAAATTTGTATGAAAATATTTTGTCGACACGAACTGTCATTTTCATACAAATTAAGTTTTCGACTTGCTACATACAAATAATAATAAGGCATCTTGACTAAACCCTCTGGTAGGTAGGAAAGATTGTATTAGTGTGCTAATTGCTAATATTTGCATTAACTTTGTCCTGTGTTGCTATCATTGCTATCGTCTATGTAAATATATATTAATACCTATTTTTATTATCTTTATTAAGGTTGATTTTGATGCCTGTGAACCAGATGCTTTGAATAATTTACCAATCCATCAAATAATCCTTCGAAGTCAGTTTTGACACCAGAAGCGTTTCGACCCTATCCGCATGTTGTAAGAAGTAATAAAACAAAAAAAATGACGACGACGGCCAGGAAAACCACGAATTTATACTGCCACACCCGAAAATAAGAAGTGCTAATCCGCACCAAAGATTAAAAAATGTGATTCTAAATTTAAGATACCTAACTAATTAATGCTAAAAGCTATGTAATTTTTGTTCACTATAAGAAAAGTATTTTATTTTTGTTTAATAGAAGTTAAATCTTTATTTTTGTGTTTAATTTCATTGCTAATAAATGAATTTTGATTTATACGTGTCGTTTTAATCGCACGTACGGAACTACCCCACAGCGTACGAAGGTACCTCCAACACTGTACGAAGGTGCCCCGTGAATGGGGCAGATTCGTACGTTTCCCAGATTTAGTTTAAATCATAATTATGGTTGAACCATAAGATGAAATCATTTGTCATTTTTTTATATGAATCTCAGATAGTAGGACTATAAATTTAAGCTTGCAGATGATTGATTAATGGAAAAAGAAAAAAAATTAAAAATAAAATGTGAAAACCGTACGAAGGGTCCCGACCTTCCCCTATATTATTTTATTCATAAATATGTAACAAGATAGCGGTGTTGGTATAGTACCTTGAGCGTGTGCCTGAGGTCATGCATATCATGAACCCTTGCTTGTACGGTAAAGAAATATATTGCAAGGAAACCGGCATGCCTAAGACCTAAAAATCGATGGCTGGTATCAGGCAACAGGAGTTCGTTCACCTACTGGTCAATGTGGAAAAAAGAAGCTACTGAACTACTCGGGTAGTAACTTAGTAATGCAAAAAAATTCCAAGCTTTGATTAGTTTCATGTTTCATAATTTACAAAACAGGGTCGCTTTGTTTCAATTTACCTTTGGGAATGAGCCCGAGGCAACGAAATCAGTTTGTTTTACATGGAAAAAATGTTTTCAGAATAACTTCTTCACGTCAATTGTTTTCCAAAAGTTAAACGAAAGGAAAATGTTGTTCTTTTAAAAGTAAACAACCAACAAAACCTTTCTTGGGATACAATAAAATTGTATTGAGAAAAACTGGTATAATTTATAAATTAGTTTGGGATAACAAAAAACAAATCTAATTTAGCATATTTATTATATTGTACAAATTATTAGAATATTTATTATATTGTACAAATTATTAGATATTTATTATATTGCTTTACGATTTTATAAATATTTTCATAAATTTATAGTAACCAATTAAATTATATTAGCTATTCATTATTGTACACATCATTTATAATGGCTAAAATTCATTGCTTCAAATCGCTTTACCTATAAAAATCTTTAATGGTTACTTACACAGCGGTAAACAAGCTATGACGTCACCAATTTTCCGCTGTATGGCGTTACATTAACGAGACATTTTAGATAAAATTCTCCGTTTATTGCACATCAATCACTTAACACGAAATCTGCTTTTAAGATTGACAAGAGTTCTCTCGGGTAAATGTATCTTAAAATGAATTTTCCATTTTTAAAGTTAAACGCAAAATATTTAAGTGCTCGTCTGGAGAGCGTTATTATATGTATATCGGATCTATCTGAAGAAACGTATTTGCTGCTTCATAGATATTTAAGGGATTCCTTGCCTTACTTATGTACGCAGCGGTTACTCAAACATTGTAACGTATAGGTATATATCCAGACTAAATAAAAGAAAACGGTTTTAATTCTAGAATGTACAAATTGAGTCTTAGCATATAACTACTTGCTTATGGGCTTAGTTTTTGAAGTGGGTAGACCACTACAAAAACACTACACATACATCATATACAATTTTTAAGCAAAAACGTCCGTGGGCATTCAAGATTGAAATGCACTTTCCATCTATTTCTTTTAATACTTATACACGGTAAGGGCTTCGTTCTTGTAAGGAATTGAATAGTTCCATTGTTAGACGTACTCAGTTGGTCTATGAATAGAGCTTTACGACTATTTTATAAACATTGAGAGTGATGTCCTTTATATTTTGCCGGCGGGGCTTTTTGGATTAACGACAATACTCGTAGAGCGACGAATTAAAATATGTGACTGATCTTTATTATTTAGAAAATGGTAAACGTGAACTATACTCGAAGGCCTATTACAATACAATATAGAAAAATTTTGCGTAGTATAAGTCTGTGCAAGCTTTACTATGAAAGTACATTGTCAAAAAGTAAAAAATAAAACAGTTCTTGGCGCCTTTTCTTACCACGATGCGTTCATAAACTTACTGACTATTGTAAATTCAATTTTAAATTAATGTGAAATACAATTTCAATTGATAATAAACTTGTAATAAATTTATTTATATATATTATTATGTTAAATAATTTTAATTTGATTGCCTCTAGACTTTATCTGATATGATTTTATTTTATTATTTTTTCAGGTCATCGTCCAATCTCTATTGCCTGTGAGGACACTGTGGTTCGACTAGTCTCTGCTGGACGATACCAAAACTCTGTAACCCTAGCCTTTTCTCCATTGCCCATGGAACACATAGAACATGCTGACTTAATATGTGGATTAAATGATATTTAAAACATACGTCGAATTACATTGTAATGTGCGATTTCCTAAAAGAATACTGTTCTTCACCCTCGTCCGGTTAGTTTTAGACCATGATACATGTCTATAAGATTTTTCTTACGAGAAACGTGTTCTACATATTTAAAATAATTACAGAGATAAACTTTCTTGTAATAAGCAATGTTTTCGCCCTATAGAAATGAGTGTAACACAGAATACTGATATATAATTTTGCAAGTGACAATTATGATCTTTTAATTAATATCTCGAGAGATGTATATAAAATGATGAAATAACTTTTTAGTTAATTCCATACAAACACTAACTTGTGAAATAATATATGTCCTTAGATGAAGTACTACTGATTAAGATGCTATAATAAAAGAGTTGAATAAATAAAGATTAGACGGCAGTGGAATTTTGTTTTAATGTGCTTGTGCGAAATCATGTATGTGTTTTGTAATAACCCTATACAATATTCTAGTCATAATAATTACAATGTACTTTACCTATATACGAGTAGATCCTAATAAAGAAGTTATTGACTTGTATTGTATCATTAAAACCCACTCCAATGACAGTTCGAGTCGACAAATTTTCATGCAAATTTAGTTTACGACATTCTACATACCCTACACTGTTGAGGCATCTTGATTAAGCCCCTAGTTTATTATCGTTACGACGGGCCACTTTGTCTATCGAAAAAAAAATTTTAAAAATTCTGAGTAAAGTTGCAATATAATCCTCAATTTATCAAATACCAGATTCCATTTTTATGGACGACACTGCTCGCCCGCACCGTTCTGGTGACGTGGAAGCATACATGCAGAGTATTTAATAGTAAATATGAACCTGCTCACAAAAGATCAGGTCTTGGGATCCATCGTTTCGATTGGCCAGCTCCAAATCCAAATTTATAAAAAAGTTGCCAGAAATCACTGCATGCATATTCATTTACACGATTGTAAGTACATGGACAACGTCAACATTTAAATTTTATTTAATTAACTGAAATCGACCTTAGAACGTATAATATTCATTAGGTGCCCGTTTTTTTAGCAAAATAGTTTAGTTTTTGTATAAAGCATGCCGTGTCTGTTAAACGATGTACAATTAGTTTTTATTGTTTATTTTCGTTTTTTCCTAGGTGTAATATTTTATTAAACATTATTATTGTTTTTATTTTTTGCCTGTGTTTGGTGGGCAAACTAGCAAAGGTTTAAATCTGATATATAAAACTAAATTGCATTAATTACAAAATACAAATTAAATTATTTTTAAAATGAAGAATGAATGAATTTTTAAAGTGAAGGAAAATTAATAAAACTCATGGTTGATTAAATTATAGTAATTTATTTCTGATTATGTAATACAGTCGAACAATCAAACAAAACTAACCTAAGTTACAGTTGCTATTTAGAAAAACTATATTTGGCCCTGAAGATTTTTGCAAATAAAGCAAGTAAAACTAAAGTTTATGTTGTATGTTTCTATTTCATTAATAGTTTATTAAGTAGAAATTAATATATATATTTATTGTAGCAATATTTTGAGCCCCTATTATTATTTATCTAAATCTCTACAATGAGTTTGACAAAGTACAATTAGACAGAGCATCTGGTCGGTTACGCGCCAAACTATTTTTTTTAAACTCATCAAAGTGCGACTGTTCCAACTTTAAAGTATTCTCACAATAAACACATTTATTTATAATATAAACAATAACTAATTCTATAAAGCTTTTATCATAGACATAGAGCCAATAGCAGTCAGATTAATGCGTTTCTTATAAGTTTCTAAACGTCACCGAGACTGGCAGCAGCTGTCAATTGCATACACGGAATCCCCCCCCCCCCCCCCCCCCCCCCCCCCCCCCCCCCCCCCCCCCCCCCCCCCCCCCCCCCCCCCCCCCCCCCCCCCCCCCCCCCCCCCCCCCCCCCCCCCCCCCCCCCCCCCCCCCCCCCCCCCCCCCCCCCCCCCCCCCCCCCCCCCCCCCCCCCCCCCCCCCCCCCCCCCCCCCCCCCCCCCCCCCCCCCCCCCCCCTCCCCCCTCCCTCCTTTTCCCCCCCTTCCTCTTTCTTTTCTCCCTTTCCCTTCCCCCCCCCCCCCCCCTTCCCCCCCCCCGCCCCCCCCCCCCGCCCTCCCCCCCCCCCCCCCCCCCCCCCCCCCCCCCCCCCCCCCCCCCCCCCCCCCCCCCCCCCCCCCCCCCCCCCCCCCCCCCCCTCCTCTCTCCACCACCCCCCAAAATTTATTTCTTACCCCCTTTCTCCCTTCCCTCCCCCGTCCCCCCTTCCCCTTTCTCCCCCCCTCCCCCCCCCCCCCCCCCCGGGCTTTAATTAGACAGCAGCTTGAGCTCATTGTCAATAGTCAATTGTCTCACTGCTCTTGTCTTGCTTGAGATATTCTCTATGTCTATTATCTATGCTTTTAACGTATTATGAGATTTACATGAGTTTATGAAACTGATATTGTCAATGTCATTTGCATTTCGGTTTTAAAATATATATTTAAATAATCAGTGCCCATCTACTATGTATACATTATTTAGCACCTAATTACACAGTTAAGCGGTCTAGAAACAGATTTCTACTGATTTTGCTTATAGTTAAAGATTAAATTAGTCAATGTCATACAGGAAAGCAATTTTAAAAGTATTACTTTTCTGTGGCTCTATGGCTTGCCAGATGAATTAAATAAAAGAAAAAGATAAACAGAAAGGAAGGAATAACTTATTACCTATACATTTTTAAACATCGAAGCAAAGTAGACAATTACGTTATCATAAAACACATAATAGGACGTTTTAAAAATATAAGCCATTTAATACTAGTTTTGCCGTAGACAAAAAATTTAAAATTCGAATTACCTACAGATAACGTTGACTTAAATCTATAAATATTATAATTTGTTTAAAAAACGATAGAAGTAGTGACGTATAAAAATATATTTAAATAATTAAAAATAATCTTGCACTATAGGTTCTTTAATATAATTAATGTACGTAATAAAAAAATACTAATAGCACGTAATTTTAATTCTACTTCTACGTCAACATATAAAATGTTTTAAATAGGTCCATAATCCATTGTACTAACAGCAAAACACATTGATTCTAATTATACATCATTAAGCATTACCTATATTCATAATAGTTGTACAACTAAAGCTTTAGATAACAAAAAGTAGCATTAATTATCTAAAAACGAATAAAAGAAAGGAAAATAAAACAAAAATATTAGGATACCTATTTTAATACGGCTACCACCTATTACTTACAATCGTTAGAAGTTAAAATATAGCTATGATTTACAAGATCCTTATATTAAACTAATTAAAGCTATCCCAGACAATTCATTTTTGTGTGCTCAACAAAGCATTTGTGCCGAACTGTTGCATTCGCAATTAATTTTTTTATTAAAAATGTAGCTTTATAGTTTTGAATATTGCAAATATCTAAATCTATAGAAACAGTATGGTGCTTGTGAATTATTTGGTAAGATATAATAGAGCCTGAAGTCTGGAGGCTTTATAATTTACGTTATAATTAAAATTCTGAATGGATAAGTAATGTTAAATCGTTTTGAAATCTATATTTGAACAAAAACCTCGAATAGACGTTGGATGTTGTGTCTTTATCACTGTCGTGTATATAAAATCAATAAGCAACGCAAAACATTATTACGCTAAGCACAGAAGTAGAAAAAAAATATTTTTTTTTAATTAGTTTAGTATTTTCAGCATATTAGTGGCGTATATATTCCAACTAAAAATCAAGTAATTAAGAGCGTATTACATATGTTGAATATGGTCCTTCTAATTACTATTTATTGTTCAAACAATAAATTTTATTTTATAGTGATTCGTGATTATATAATCGTGTAGAGTATATATTTCTAATAGTATCTTTATCGTACAAGGTTTGAAAGTAGTATGCAGTTCATGAAATAGATAAAATTTGTCAAGATATTTTTTAATTTTCAATCTGTTTTCAGCTTTAATATCTCGTTAATTTATTTAGGATGGGTTTTAAGACTATGTACTTTTATATTTCCTAATCTGCAAGGTGTAGTAACTTTTTATGTCACAGGATAACAAAATCGGTATATATTACTCATTATTCCTAACATTTTCAAGGATAGTAATTGACGTACATATAGGTATACATATATCTATCGTTAAAGATATAAATATTTTGTTCAATTTTACTAAATTCATAAGATGATTTCCACTTAAAGCATTATTTTTACACGATTATTATGTATCCTACAAAAAATAAGAATTTCTAAATACACAAATGCCAATTAAATTTGGTTTCTCAAGATACGTCTTCCTTTACTAAACTATAGAAAAAGTATATATCTTTAATGACAATAGGGCTTCTGTGTATTTGAAAATATAGTTAATAGATAAAATTGGTACCAAATCGTAAAATACTAAAGGTTAAAATGTGCTGTTAAAGAGATGTTCAGGTTAACCAAATCAAGTTAAGCGATGTGATCTGATATCTAACATGCTTTTTAACCTTTAGTTAACGATTAACGATTGTGTGTATGTTCATAATAAATCATCTTTGTAATAATAGAGATAAATCTACATTATATTTCAGCATTCTTGCAAGAATGTGCAATATTCTATAAAAGGTTCATTATGAGTCTACTTAGCATAGCTCTTAGCACTTTGTGTTGATATGTATAGACAGTGTTTGATCGAAAGCGATCTAATTAGAAGATATATTTACAAAATACTATTAATTTGTCAAGTCATAAGATTTTGGGATTCATAAGACTTTAAATGGTAGCATCCTAAATAGATGTATATAAGTAAAAATTTAACTCACTTTTTAAATTCTATATTAATAGTTTTTTTAATACAAATTTCTAAAATTCCTCTACGATTATGATATGTATCAATTGCTATTAAAGCCGAGGCACACATTGATATGAATAGTGATAGTTGAAGTGTAAGCACAGCATTGCTTTAACAAAAGCCCACACATATTTGTTTCTAAAACATCTCCACATATACTTCGTCTAATTGAATTTAATAATTCATGCTTAAATCTATATATATGTTAGCGGAATGTATTATCACATATATTTAAAAATATTACGTGTGCTATGGACGATGGTTTCTTTCAACTTTATAGTATTTATTTAACGTGAGTTTTAAGTTATTAACATCGCCCTTATAGTATACTTTTATTTTATGCTACAATACTAATTTGAAAACAACCATCCATCAATAAACAGCCAACTATTTAACATCGGTTACCATAGTAACGCGATTTATTCAATTATTATGGTACTGATTTTTTTATTTCACTCTACGAAACTAAATTTTCGATTGGTTTGATACCAATCTACACAAAGCGTTCAATAATGAGTGTTAATCAAATTTACTGTAATTTTAATACAATGATTTAAAGCCATATAGTAATGACATTTGAATCTTAAATTTTTTGTCATAATAGTGTAACGTAACGTTAATTCCAAATAATTTGTAAAATGTGTCATATTTCTTATCTAGTAAGTAGTTGGATCTATTCAAGCAAGCTCCCCCGCTAAGTGTAATTTTCTACTGGTGTCTTAGGGAATTTAGAGGGCCGCGGTAGTAGCAAGGGTGGTGAGTAGTACTATTGGTAGAGTAGTGCCGGCGACGCTACTGTACGGCCCTGTTACCGCTCCGTCACATGGTACATGCTCCAACTCTGAAAGAATACACAAACGTATATTTTAAATAAAATAAATACTGATTGTGTTTGTTCAAAAACAAATTCCTTAGATTATAGAATATACCGCTATATATATTATATACCGCATTTTTCTATGAACAATAGAGACTGTTCACTTTTCCGGAATAAAAACCTAAGTACGAAATAAAACTAAATTTTTCATTTTTTTTTCAATTTATATCCTCAGAGTTCATAGAATAAAAAATAAAAAATTCTCGCAGTCCAGTCGAGGTTTGCACTTAGTACCATATTTATTTACAAATAAGAAATAAGGGTTGATCGTAGATTGGTGAAAATTTGAAGGGTTTGAAAGATAGATAGTAGCCGATTATCAGACTTACTGAATATGCATTAAAAAATTCATAACATTCGGTCAAGCCGTTTCGGAGGAGTATGGGAACGAACACGAGAATTTTATATACATACTCGTATTAGATATGTAATTCGTTATGTAAATATATAATTCCAAAGGTCACCGCTAACGATGTGACGAGACTGTATGGAACAGTTTACAAAGGCAAGAGTGCACCGTGGAAACATGACATGGAATTAAGCTTAATTAGTGCAGTCTTTTTAAAAAAATTGTTAAGTTGTAAGCAATACCGTAGAAAATAAAATGTATTTATTTAATTTTAGGCTCGCGACTACTTCTAAGTACATACAGACATTAATGTTCTATTTTTAATTTATCCGAAATAACCATGTTTTAACCAATTACAAGGTTAGATTGAAATGAGCCTTGAGCGATCGGCGTAATAGGGAAATGACCTAAACTCGTATTCAATAACATCTCAAGTCATAATCTTGTCAAAATATCAAATTTCGTAGATAACAACGAATGATTTACGTTAAAAATAGGCGCCTGGTTCGCGTTACAGTGTTGTAAATGTAAAAATTTATAAAAACTGCTGACTTTTTGTCGGAAACTTTGTTTTGCCAAGTATATATTTGACGGCTCATTGGTCTAGTGGTTAGTACCCCTGACTGCGGATCCATGGGTCCCGGGTTCGATCCCCGGCTGAGACAAACATCGATGTGATGAGCATTTGGTGTTGTGCTTAGGTCTTGGGTGTTTAAATATGTATTTATATGTATATCTATAATATCTATGTATATCCGTTGCCTAGTACCCATAACACAAGCTTCACCAGCTTAGCTTGGGACTAGGTCAATTGGTGTGAATTGTCCAATAAAAAAAATAAAAAAAATATTATTTCTAGGAAACATTTTTTTAGTTCAATAAATATAACTATTTACTATAATAAAAAATAGGGGTAGAGGGGTGAAAATTTATGATGTATCATAAAAAAATAAAAAGAATAAAATTGTCTAAAAAATAAAAAAATAATTTAGGGGTTAAAGGGGTTAACCCTTACATTTAGGAGGATGAAAAATAGATGTTGTCCGATTCGTCCTACCCGATATGCACACAAAATTTCACGAAAATCGGTCAAGCCATTTCGGAGGAGTTTAATTACAAACACCGTGACACGAGAATGTTTATTAGAGATGATAGTTTGAAGTTACAAGAATTTCTTTTAATGTTTTTGCAGTCCTAGTATGATCACATTTTATTGTAATCTCTATCTCAATCTCACCCCAACATTTGAAAGATTTAACATCGCATTCTGTGGGTGATGCAGCGAGCAACTTATTAACTCGATCACAAAATTAATAAATTTTATGTATTCCGGGGATGTCAATACAGAAATTGTTCCCATTCTTTTCGCGCGAACCTCATTGCCCTCACTAAAAAGGACGGAGGGGTGAGACCAATTCTGTTGGTTCAACACTAAACGTCTGGCTTCCAAAATTGCTGTTCGACATATTTTACCAAAATTAAATTCAGAATTTGAACCTTACAGTTAGGCTTCGGTGTGAAAGGAGGTGTAGTCCATGCCCTACGCTCTTTCCTAAGTCACGGACAGCCAACGTGTTGCTCAAAATTGATGTGAAAAATCATTTAATTCGGTAAATAGGGATACCCTCTATGAAATAAAAATTCCGGAAATATACAATTATCTTCTTCTCAGTTACGCTGATCCAACTAAATTGTTATATCGTTCTAATGAACTTTCCTCGAAGTAGGTTGTCAACAGGGTGATCCCCTGGGCCTCAATTTTTAGTTTGGCTATAAATCCCATAATCAAAAATTTAAATTCTAATTTCAATGTTTGGTATTTGGACGACGGAACCCTAGGAGGTGATGTGGATACTGTGTTTTCGGACCTTCTTTTAATCAAAAATAAATTTGAAGCCATTGGTTTGGAGCTTAATTTTAACAAATGCAACTTTTCATAATAACTCGACTTAAATTTAAATATGTAAAAAAAAATTTCAAATTTTGGCTCCAAATATTAAAATAGTTAACAGGAATTCCCTTTACCTTTTAGGTTCTCCAATTTTTAATGAATCTATTTCTATTATATTCATACTTCAATTACTAAATTTCAAAATTCTGTACCGTCTCCTTAAATTATCCACTTTGCACTTTGCATCTTAAAATTCTGTCTTTTCCTCCCAAAATTTACGTATGTGCTCCTTGCTGCTCCTTTTGGAATCACCCAGATATTTTAACACCATTAGACGACTTAATCAAAATTAGCTTATCACTTCTTATATGCAGCTAACGAAAATCTTACCCAAGCTTCCTCCATCCGTTATGGTGGTTTAGGGATTCGCAAAATTTCCAGTGTCGTCTTTACCAGCCTTTCTATCTTCTGTCCATAGTTCAGCAAATCTCATAAGTAAAATTTTAAGGGCATCCCCTTCAAACTTTGAGATTGCTGGCTTGGAAGAAGCTAAAACGCTTTCTTGATTGCATGCCCAGGTCAAAATTTTCCATTATCTCTAAATTCACAAGGAGCTGGGATGACATACACTGCAAGTTGACTTTTGACGATCTTTTGAGTCGTAGTACGGGTTCGGCGCGTGCTAGGCTTTTGGCCGTGGGCACGCATGAGGCCGGCTACTGCTTCACCTTACCCATCGTCAATACAGAACTTTTCTTGAGCCTGACACGCTTCGAATCGCAACCTGTCTACGGCTTGGGGTTCCGGTCTGCGCTCCTCATATATGTCCCTTGGCAGTGATGTCGACAAGTTAGGACATCACGGCCTGTCATGTCCAAAAGTCAGCCGCTTCTTGGCTGCCGCACTTAACGATTCATACGCCGTTCCCTTCCACCGTCAACGTGCCAAGTCTTCTTGACCAAGTGGTATTGCAAGAGACGATGGCAAGACCGGACGGTATAGTTTGATTCCATGGAAGATGGGTCGGGTACTGGTATGGGTGCAACCTGTCAGACACCTGGCCCCTTCCCTCTCTGGACCACTCAGAGCTGGTGCGGCTTGTGAAGCGGCTGAAAAAAATAAAGCAGGCAATACAGGGGTCTGGGCTCTGAATATGATTTTGTCCCATTCGGTGTCGAGACCCTTGGTCCGTGGGGTCCTAGCGCTTTAAGGCTTTTTAAAGAAATTTCAAAAGGTTAGTCGACATCACAGGAGACCGAAGATCTGGCACTACCTCGGACAAAGAATTAGTCTAGCAATTCAAAGGGGGAACGCTGCCAGTATCTTCGGAACCTTGCCTAAAGGGACTCCTTTTAATGATATATTTTAGTTTATGTTAAGTTTCGTTATTTATTTCAATGTATATTATTTTATTATTATTAGTTTATGTTTATAAGTTTAATTTTATTAATATTGTTACCATTACACTATATTCCAGATTAAATTATTACAATACCGATGTTACGTACACATTGAGCGTACTATTCCTTAAAAGGCAAAGCAAGACCATTTTCGTATAAAAAAGTATTTACCATCGAGTTTTAGCAGGAAGTCATTCCAGAATGCACAAGCCGACGCACGTGGTCCCCGTGGGGCGGCGGGTCCACTCGGGCCGTCAGCCGTATATGTGTAGTAATGAGGCGATGACCGGGAGTATAGTGGCCACTTCTCATCCGGTTTGTGAGGCTTGCTGTAACACGTTTTGCATAGTATAGTATGAATATCAGTTGTGGAATGCACGTAAGGGATATGCAATAATGTTAGGCTTTTAAATACATCTGCATACTTTAATAGATATCCCGTTTCTATCCATTATTTTTTTTAATTAAAAGTTAAACCTACATAAATAAGCTAATTACTGATGTTCTTTACAAATAATAATAATTAAGTAACCAAAGTTATTATATTTATTTATTTTATTTTTACTTCATTGCCATAATACACATAATTATACTTATAAAAAAACAAAAAGTAAGTAGGTTAAATAAGTTATTAGGCAACGGGCGGCCTTATCGCTGACAAGCGATTTCTTCCAGGCAACCCTAATAAGGAGCATTATATTATATTTACAACAAAAACGTTCTCACGGAAGCATATCCAATTAAAATGGAGGCATTTTGTTCAATTGTAATGTAGATTTTTTTTAGATGCAGTCCTGTCGTAATGCAAAAAAGATATTTCATAAAAAAGTATTTTAAATTATTAATTAAAAGGTTAGTTCATACTCACTGTTTTACGAATACAGAAAATTTTAATAACAGCTTACCCAGTAAGCGCAAATCTTGTAAAGGACTGCATTATGTGAGCAGCGAGGTCTCGTTCCCTAGTATGGTACTGCAAGGACATGTTCAGAGGATGGCCAAACACATACTCCATCTCATCACCATGCATCACTCCCATCCATTCACCCCAAAGGCTGGTGCTGGTACGCTGGAAATTATGTAAAAGGTAAAGGGACACATGTATAGTAAAAATATCAAGTTTTCTAAGCTATTAATTTTAAATTATTTAGTATTTCTTGTAAAGTTATACTAGGTATTAAAAAAAGCCTTACAATGTGATGGTCATATTTCTGAATATTACGATAATCAGTTCTTAATAGAGATCATCCTTGTTTTCTGTTTTAACAAACAGAGTAAGGGCCCGGAGTCAACTAATAAAAACAAAACATCATTTACATATAAATTCTATCAATTAGCTTTTATGGCACAAATATTTATCAGATTTCCAAGCAATCCACTGAAAATCAGCAATAACAAAGCAATCTTGAACCAAAGAAAATTGTTACCCTAAATTGTTTTTAATGGTGTAGTTGGAAATTAAATGCGAAACAGTCTCTGGTTTGCCCAAATTGTTGGAGTTGAAATTAAAAGCTTTGGTTGGCGGATTGTGATTAAATATGCATGCGATACACGAGTGTAGGTACATTTGATATAATAACGGAAAGGTCAAAGCATAATACGGTACTATATATGGATCAGACGCCTACATTGCAATATATTTCACAGATATAAAAAAAATTATGTGTCGCGTCGCGTCTGTAAAGGGCATCAAAAATTAGAACGTAAATCACTGATCATATATTTACAATATGGCTACGTTTTGAAATTATTTGAATTTGGTTAAATGACAATTAAATGAAGTGATAACAAGGGTTGTTCGTTTTAATTAATAATGATGATTTAATTGTTCTGTTATCAAGTTTATGATTAAGAGAGTTAAATTGTTTTGTTGTTAAACAAATGTTAAAGATGCAAAAATGTATGTATCCACATACATTAATTTTTTTTATATTTTTATTTCTTAGCCCATGCGATAGACTTTACCGGTCGTTAGATTTGTCTATTCATAATGTTTCTTTACATAATACAATTCATTATAATATTTTACGTAAGCATAGACTAAATAATGCTGCAAGCTATAACAGACCTGGATCCGAAGAGATGTTACATAATCATTTATCGGCAAAGACGGCACATCAAAGGGAATTTTCAATATGAAATTTTTGTCTACTGTAGTTATTTTTACAAGCAACGTCGTTATGTATTCAATCTTTGAGATCTTATCAAAATGGAGACGGAATGTGGAACAGTTCCCTAGAGATATAGCCGTATAAAAGTAACAGGCGTTTACCCTTCAGCTTTATCTCTTATATTTACTTCATTTACGGTTTTAGTGTTTAATATTAATAATATAACTTAAGTTATATATAGACCGTATCATAATAGTATTTGCCACATTCTGCAGTTTGTTTTAATTGTTTTTTTTTTACGAATGTATTTATTATTATTGTATCACAAAGAAAAAGCTGAATTTTACACATTAGAAATATAATATAGAATTTTTAGTAATTCAATTTATATACGTTAGTATAAAAGTTTGACTTTTTGTGTTTAATGTCTCTGTGTTACACACAAACTAATATTCTCGAACAAAGACTATTAAATAATCAGTTCGTTAAAGACCGTGCCATGACCTAAATGATATTTTGTCTCACTTAACTACAACAAAATTAGCGAAATGGAAGTAGAATAGCTTTTGGTCATGTCTCGAAATAGCTTTGTTAATCTGGTGACCTTTGCCCCACTGGATCTTTCGGGCTAATTCGATAATATTTCATCTTTCTTAATATTAATTCTCCAGAAATATTTAGTGATAAAGGAAAAGAAAACACAAACGCGAAAGTGAGTTTGCGTGTTCTGTTTTATGAACCGCTGAATCCATTTAGACCAGGGTAGAAGCCTTTAACTTAACTTTTTGAAAAAAGCTGATATTTTGACGGGTGAATTTTCGATTGAAAATTAGGGTGCTTTTTCGATATTAATTCAAAATAAGGTGAAAAAATTATTATTTCAAATCAAATAAATTACAGCGTATAAAAGACATAAAAAGGTAAGTTTTCACCAAATCTCGTGGGAAAAAAATAAATTTTGTAAAAGATAAAAATTAAAAACCAAAAACTTGGTTTTTTGAATTTTTCACATAAATTTTGAGGTTATGAGAAAAATGTGTAAATAACAAAGTTTTAGATCTTTTTATTACCTACAACTTTGCCATAGGACTTTTAGTTTTGCCGGAAATCGAGATAAACCGTTTTTTACCCTTAAAACTCCCCTTAATCACTGTGCAGTGTGCATAGATATCGTATTTTCGAGACACGTTCCAAGGTCTGATTGTTGAGGTGTATGTCTAACTTACGGCGACGTTATTGTATACATATAAATGTCGGAGCTATGGCGTTTGTGTCAGCTCCCATTTCCATTATACGAGTATGTCACAGAGCTCGTAAATTAACAACGTCAAAGTCGGGTTTATTAGATTTGCCAACATTACTAGATCTATAAATTAAAGACTATTTAATAGGCCATAGTAATAGTAATTTCACAGTCATTATTATTTATAATGTCGGATGTCGAGAGTGTCAGCCGCCACTATAATTTAATGACGTCATAGTGATATTAATTCAACACCGTCAATACTAGTAGTAGTATTTGATTTGTCAATGTTGCTAGATCTATACATTAAAACTATTCAATGGTCGATAATAATAGTGACTTTATAGTCATTATAAGTAATTTATCATACTTTACAACCTTTTGAACTTAAAATCAATAAATATTAAAGTAACCTTTGACAGTTCCTATAACTGCCGTTTGACTCTGTAGTCGATTCGGGTTCGGTCCCGAGCTGAGCTGTAAAGGCCCTTAAGGCCAACAGCGAGATTCCTTGCCAAGTTCTCCTTTTCCGTCCACATTGTCAGTCTTACCCTCTTTTCTCTTAGATTTTTTTGTCATTCCTAAAATCTCTTATCCTACTCTCACTCCGTCATACACCATATTTCTAAAATAAATTTAATGGCTATATGAAGTAAATGCTATATTTTTTTATAAATCGCTCAAGTATTTAAATTCGACCAAGGATTTCTATCGATTAAATGTGATAATAAATCACTAAAGAACAAGCCCTACTAGCTTTTAGATTTATCGCTCCACATTTATCTTATTTTGTTCCTATTACTCGTAATGGCTGCGCTTTTTTCGTTCGCAAAATGCTTGGGAACTCGCCAAAATATTATCTCAATTTCCTTATGTATTTATTCTTGAATGATTCTTGGTATCGATAAAATACATTGGTTGTATGTGCTATGCTGCTTTTTCTGAAATTAGACAGAGCCACTGTCCATATTGCGTGTGAAATAGTTAAGATTTATAAGATAAGAAGAATAACTGGTAAGAAATGGCAATTCTATTAAATAAATTTTAATTAAAACGTAAATTACTAATTTGTTATGCAAATAACGCCAAAATCTATGCTTAGTTAGCTTGACGCATCGATGTTGATGATGATTTCTGAATTCAGCTAATTATTGACTTCATCATTGAAATCGCTATATTATAAAAAATCATGTATGTAGTTAAAAAACCTTAAAAGCAAAGATTCAATATTTAAAGATTATCATCAAATTTCACGTACTGCTTATTTGCTTTATATCATAAAGTCGATGAAGAAGCACTTTTCAATTGAAAACACATTCCGCTTAACATACTAAAGCCGACGAGTGGTTCTTAAATATTTAATAACCTCTTGGCGGTGACCCAACGTGCTATATGAATATTAGGGCAATACGCAACAAAATTGATTTTGTACTCAGCGGTACCGCTTCGTGAATGTAAAATGAGTTCGGAAGTATCAAGATCCTGGCCGAAGCATTGTTTAAATTTCAGAACCAGATTTTCTTAAGCGAAACGAAACGTACAAAGTGTATTCTGATCTCAAAGAGTAGCATTGAATTGAATAACAATGAAGTCAAGTCGTATCTCAAACGAACTCTCTGTCGCACTAATAGGTAGAAAATAAAGAATCCCAGTTCTTGATTTAAAGCTAGATTGATCTGATATTAGTTAAAATCTTACAGAACAATCGTCACCTAACTTCATACTGCTGTCAAGTTGCACGTTGTGTGAGGCAAGACTTATTACCATTACAGTGCCACATACTATTCTTGGCCGGCGACTGAAATTGTTACTACCGCCGCCATTTTGGTACATACAATAAAAAAAATTACTATCTACCAACATCTAATAAAAGTCTAATTTATATTCCATGCATTATTAATGGCAAAGTTTTAATTATTGAACGGTTCTGATTGCTAGGTACGAGAATCTTGAAAGATATTATATGAATAGTACAGGTACATAAAATATGATAGGTTTTGTTAGCTGTACTATTAATATAATATCTTTATATATTATCTATCTCTTTTCTATAATATCAGTTGTTCCTCAGTTAGTATAGGTACATTGTTTTATTAAATAATTTTAATAAATTATTCCCCTTATAATGGTTAATTTTTATTTAATGGCAATACTAATATCCATGACAGCAACACTCTTAACGCGACAGTGATTTTTAATAAAACCATAGGTATTAAGTAAAATTTATACTAACTCCTATAAACCTATAGGTTGTTACAATGCTGATTATTATTCGATGCTTATGATATTACTTCATCTCCTTGACTTTAGACCTAAATATTAAAATACATCTTGATGCCAGAAACTAAGTTAAAAATAAAAATGTTTTATTTTGGTAGTGCCTGTCCTCTATAAACCATTAATTTCAAAGATAAATATTTACGAAATTAACATTTTACGGTTGTATATTGAAATGAGACCAAAATGGACTTAAAAACAGCCATCAAAGAATTCCTTTGAACAGCCGGCGATTCTAGTAAAGAGCAAACGGCGGGTGCTTATAAGCGCCCTCCTGTTTGGTTCGTTACCCAAATTAACGTGTTAGTACCGGTTTGTCGTTTCAAGACCGTCTTCGTAGAGAAGCCTTTGAGATTTTTATAGACGAGGCTATAGGAAGAAGATCGAATATTGTTGACGTAATATTGTTACCCTTTGGCGAGTTGATTTAATCATAAAGCTGTTAGTTTTGTAGTAAAAACAAATATTTAAATTTGCTGGATTGATTTTAAATAGATTAAACATAAATTCACTTGCACTATTACATTGTGCTTATATTATTACGTAAGTATATAGATCTTATTTGTACTTTGAGGTCAGACACCTTGTCCCTTGACTAATTTAACAAATTCATGTTTTTTTTTTAATGTAATTGAAAAAAAAATTAGAATTATATATCAACATCTGTTTTGTTTATTATTTTAAACCCATTAATTTTTAAATAACGAACGTTAGTAATTGGACTGTTTATAGTAAAACCTACGTTTAGATATAAAATCAACCATAAGGTCATTCGATCAGCCTTCTGTGCCTGACACAACCTCTTGGTTTTTTTTTCTTTAACGTACAGGCGAATGTTAAAGCGTACAGAGAAAAAAATATCCATTAGTGTACAGCTGGGGTTCGAACCTACAGTACTAATTGTTATACAAAAGTAAACTTTCGATCATTTTCACAAAATAAGTACATATACTCGTAATAAATACACTGTTTTATTATATGTATTTACTAACCAAAACGATACTCATTACTTAATACTGTTACTGTGCTAACGTCAAAGTATATTTATAGTATATATAATATATATAAGTAACTTATTGTCTATTTTTTCACTTTATATTCAACTTTATGTCGCTCAATATTACACGCTCTGGTATAATGCCGAACGAAACAAAACGAAATACTCAGTGACTGTGTTGCCAGTATACAAAATAGTTTTAACAGATATTACCTACCTTGTCTCTATGCTTGATAGAAAGCTCGTTAAAGCAATTAAGTGTTGCGAAAACGCACTCATAAAATAGGTAAATACTTACATGTGTAAAGTAATAATAGTAGACGTCAACTTCAGCATCAGCAAGTACTTCAGCGAAATAATTTGTCGGACAGACGAAAAAGTAATCGGCCACAACATCTGCAATCATCTTTTGGTTCAAATAGCCATCCGTTATCTCCTCCCAATCGGTGTACTGTAGACAATAAGAAAATCGATCTTATATTTCTCGTAGTATTTGGCGTGGTGTTTGAATATCTTTCTTAGAATTATATTTAGAGCTGAAACCTTGCCCTATGTATGTAAAAACGTATTGACATACGGCGTCAAAGCTTATGCATACTTTTACTCTGCGGTATTGTAGTTGAACCATAAAATGTACGATTTATTTAGAATTTCGAAATGAGTACTACTCAAAGCTAGTAAATTATATGGTGTAAGTATTATTATTAATAATAAACATAATATTTGATTATAATTGTGTATTGATTCGTTTAAAATACATACATAATGTGTATATTATTGATTGCAATACATTTTTATAAACTAATGTTTGAAAATAAACGTGTCAAGCGTGGTCTTTATAAGATTAAATAATAATTTTACCTAACTATTAAAAATGAAATAAAATAATAATACTGATAGATCCATACGTATTTCGCTAAGTAATTTATTTTCTTGGAATTTGTTTTCCTAAAACAAAACGCTTCGGAACAGGGTTACAGTAGCAGAGAAATTTTAATATTTTTCTAATATCTCTTGTCAATAATTAATTTAATTCAGAAAAAAATCTTATTCTTAATTCATAAAAATAAAAAATGTAATTAAATTAAATAACTAATAATTAGTCATAAATTATTCATATTATGTACATAATATTAAATACACACGGATGGTTATATAATTACAATGATAATTAATTCCTCCTACAACCATTATGAATTGAAAGGTTATATAAATAAATGTAATCTTATAATATTATAAACAGACTATAGAGTATATAAAGCAAATATCCAGCCGTGCGAAGCCAGGACATACGGCCTTCATAATAAAATAATAATTTCGATATAAAACATTAAGAGGTCAAAGGAATAAAAGTTTTCATCTCTCTAAGGCATACAGTACAATTAAGTGTAAAATTACTGAGAAGTCGACGAAAGATAAGCCATTAATGGCGGTAATTTCAAATAGGATGTCCTCATTAATTCTTTGTATACCTTATATTGCAATATGTACTTCTATGTACCGTAAATGAACGCTATACATCTTGTAAAATTAAAAACTTTGACACACGCTTTCACAAAAATTTTACAGCCAAAATATACAGTGCACAGTGAAAACAATAAATGAATATTTTACTCAGACTCATTTTCGGCAGAAGTAACTACTGCATCGATCTCATCATCGCCAATACACAAAATTTATTAAAAAAAATATATTTGTTGGAAAATCAGACCACCGCACCGGGTTAACTTATTAAAATAACGCGGGGAGTGTGGGGGTCGGTCCGGGAGGTGCGATGCCGCTAAAACTAAAACCCAACTGCCACATCTGCTCGTGATGGACGGGAGGCACGGTAACATTTTCATATAATCCGTGCCTCCCGTCAGAGCTATGCACGTGCGCAGCCCAATTTATTTTTTGTTATTATTTAGCTATACAGAGTTTCTTACCTAACCTAACCAAATCTTGTTACTCATTCAATGTTATTTTCATTTGTTACTCAAATGCACAATAGCACTATATAAACATATTACGTATAGTTCAAACAACATTTCCAACCCAAAATATACTAACTGTGATAAGGAATATCCATAACTTTGTTACACTTTTTTAATACAAATTATTATTAAATCATGAAAAAGTATTTAGATAGTTTTATTCATTTACTATTTTATATATCATATTAATATTTCAAAAATCTGTTTATGTATTGCAACACTTTCTTTCGTAAATTTCAATTTTAGTATATAATTTCTATTAGTTTATTAATTCTAATATTGATTTATTAAAAAATATTCTCCAATTTATTGGACGCTAATCATAGTTAAACTACGTATATATTAAATCAATAGTTGTTAGAAAGATTTAACAAACACACTTACTTGAAACACGATGGCTTCTCGTTTTATCTTTGAGAACTCTTTGAAAATTGTGTCTATGATTTCTAAGAACTTTTCGCGTTGAAGAAAACTGGGCCCATCTTTCTCGAAGTAATCAAGAAAGTCGTACAGCAAAAAGTACGTTCCTGAAACAGATTAAAATTCGACAGATTAATAACTTGTCTTCAATATTATTTTATAATCTATGTAAAATAAAATAAAAAGAAATATATCTTAATTGTGTTAATCTATTACAATTTATAAAGATACAAAAAATTATATAAATTTAAATTTTAATTTAAAGCATTCAGCATATTATTAAAACGACTACGTCATACAAGCGTTTAAATATCGCATGTCAAACTTCATTTCAAATTCATAAAAGCATGTTAAATATCTTAAGTAAACTCCTTTACATTCCACAACGAAAATATTTTTAAAACTTGTTATATTTATTAAGGAAAATGTTTTGTTAAAAATGCTGTTTATAGTCGTACTAGCAGACCGGCCAAGCGTTGCTGTGGCTAAGGTTTTTGTTATATTACATAGCAAACTATTCAAGGGAAACGGTAGGAGAACACCAGTCATGGGGACCACCATGCTTGCTTGGTGGTTATGTCATTAAATTGTAGCTTATGTGAAACGTTGGTACTTTCAACATAGCGCCATCTGTTAGAATTGTGACTGTCAAATAATAACAAAAATTTTGCAATATAATAATATTGCGGGTATAAATTGAGATGGAAGCTATGCTATCTTTTAAGTTAGATCAAACTACACACGGTGTGCAAATTTGATTGATATCGGTTCGGTAGTTTAGGAGTCCAAAGCGGACAAACAACGTGACACGTAATTTATATATATTAAGATTTGAATGGTCTCTTTGGTCTTTTTAGAGTCTTAGTGGTTGAATTATTCAACTGCTCTTACTGATCTCACAAAATCGTAGTTTATAACAGAAAGTAAACATAGAAATACAGATAGAGTGAGCATCATTTATGGTGCGAAAAGGCAAATAATTTAACTTTACTTAAAACTAAATAAAGGGTTACAGTGATGTCTACTCATGTTACAAAGTAGCAGAAAACAGTAAAAACACTAAACATCATTTGATACGCAATTTTAACTACAAGCACTGATCCTTCCAGTTTTCTTCAAGCCTTCTTTGCCTCTTTCATAAAAAGATTTTAAGTCTACACATCATTTTACAGATTTCTAAAAACAGTGTAATATTTAAAATTAAAATATAAAATTTGGTATGCAATATGAAAAAAATCTAATATATAAAATTCTCGTGTCGCGGTGTTTGTTGTTAAACTCCTCCGAAACGGCTAGACCGATTCTCATGAAATTTTGTGTGCATATTGGGTATGTCTGAGAATCGGACAACATCTATTTTTCATTTCCTAAATGTTAAGGGTCGTCCACCCCTAATTTTTTTTTTAATTTTTAGATAAATTTTTATTTTTTTTATGATTAAAAAATACATACAACCCCTAATTTTCACCCCTCTACGATCAACCCCTATTTTTTATTACAAATGATATACATGGCATAACGACGTTTGCCGGATTAGCTAGTATATATATAAATTTTAATATAGAAGTTTTCTGTAGGAAACCAGTGACACACTTTTAAGGAATCTGTGAAAAAGTTGTACTCTCCCGTAAGTTCTTGAAATAATTTGCAATACTTCGCTCCATTGCTTCTAGTAGTAGTATATAGAATAAAATATCGTAATGATTTGTGCCAAAGATAAAATGCTCCTCTTATGTAAAACAAGGTTAGCTTAGGTCATTAAAATGTACCAAGAAGAGCTCCTTTGGGACGCAGTCGAGGCCAAGTTACACTTTACATTTCTATGTTGCATCGCGACTTGCATTACTTATTCATTCTTCAAAAATTGAATGACGGAATAATTTATTCAACACTCACAGCATACAAAAGACCTAAGCGTGGATGAAAGCTAAAGTTAATAAGGTTATGTAAAATTGTAGCCTGCGGTTTGCATAATCGCTGTATTTGTGGCAATTTAAATTTAACATTACATAAATGAAGGATACATTTTGTATCAGGGAAGAGGAACGTAACATCGTAGTACTTTTTATTTCAACTTTCTGTGATTTTGACAATTTTTTATTTTTTATTTGAGTAATTTTTTATAACTGTATGGATACTCGTATAAAGTTATTCCAAAACCAGAAAGTAGTTAGCATTTGTATAAATTTTAGAATAGAGAAAATGGGGAAAAAGACGGGATTCTTTTCCTCAGCATATATTTCAAGTACTAATCATATTTTTAGTTTGATATTATTTCAAAATGCAAACATATATTAATGTTTCCTTGTCAACTTTACCCTAAGAATAATTTATTTATCGTGCACCTATCTACGGAGTGATATTTTATAGCTTGATTTTTTAACGTCCCATTAATACCTACGATATTTCGTCATAAACTCCAGTATTTCGTTTGCATTCATTACAGTAAAGAAACAATAACGATGTCAGTACTCATTCAATTTTTCACAAGGATTTTGCAAATATTTAAGATTTTATATTTTATCTTTCATCAAGAATTTGGAGCATAAATTAAATTCACAAAACATGTAAATAATTAAAGCATTTCTCGGCCTTAACAACTCCTAAGAATTCATAAAATCTTAAGTGAAATCTTAATATTCTAGAAACTGTAGAGGGGCGCCTGACAACCAAAACAAGGGGGTGGGGTAGGGGCCATTTAGCTCGAAGTACGTGGGCGCGTCTGTAGTACTTGGTAGTACGAGAAATCTACGCAGTTGTATTGTTGTGTTTACACTGAGTGCGCAGGCGTGCCCCCTTCGTGGTTTGCCCCCTCTTAGCCCCTCTTACTGCCCCCGTTGCCAGGTGTTCAGGACAAACGACCTCCGACTCTTAGCCGATATTGATAGATTGTAGGCACTCTCAGATGCTTCCCTAAGAACCCTTATATTTGAAAGAAGAATTACAGGCGTTATATATCGCACTGACTGAACTGTTTGTTTCCTTTTATGATTTAATTTGATGGACCGAAAAAGAAATATGTAATTAAATGTAATGGTCTTCATATACTTTGACCCCAAGTACTTATAAAGTCACGTTTTTTATTTCCGTTGTGAGTTATAAGTATAAAAATCTGACAGTTTTTTTATTTTTTATGAATAGGGAGTAATTGTGTTAAAAGTGTAAAGTGCTTTAGTTAAAATATATTTTTTGGTTAGGAATGCTATTAAAAAACATAATAATTAATAATAATGGTAAATATTTCATTACCAATGAAAACCACAGCTAACCATTAAGCTAACATTATTAAAATTTTACAATAGTAAAGGCGAAGGTTCCTAACAAAGTTATATTAATTTTAAAGCAACAATATCCAATTGTAGGTTTTGTATACGAGTAAGTGTATTAAGAGAGAAGTTTGTGAGTACAGTTACCTGATAATAAAATATTTTTAAACTATTTCCTCTATAGAAAAATTTACATAAATTATACGCTGTCGTAGTTGAACACTTTGCAGGTAATAGGCGATATTTTACCATTATAATATTCATATGAATTTAATAGCAACTATTACTTTTACATTAATTAGTAATAAAATTACCTTCGTCTTGATTGCTTCCCAGCAGCACTTCGGTGTTATGAAAATAGCCCTCTTTCATCATTGTTTCAGGATCTTTCGGGAGGAATATGCCATCAACAGTAGGTGCGGACGGAAAGCCTAATATACCAGTGTATGAATTCCATTGTTGCACAGATATAGTTTTAGCATCCACTCCGCGCATGCAATCCATCACTAGACTCGGATCCGCCGCCAAAAGGCTGCTATTACAGTTGCAATCATCGATCAAAACTTTTCCAATTTCCTGAGCTCGCTGACCGGTCATCCAACTCCACGGTGCATTCAGAGTCCCTGATTGCAATATTCCTCTTTTGAACAATCCTTTCATTTCAGGAGAGAGCATGTGTAAACTTACGCTGCCGCCGCCAGCGGATTCCCCGAACAACGTTATCAACTCAGGATCGCCGCCGAAGGCTTGTGCGTTATCTTTGATCCAACGAATAGCCAGTTGTTGATCCCACAAGCCCATGTTCCCTGGGGCTTCTTCGCTACCGGGGGAAAAGAATTTGTTCAAATATAAAAATCCGAAAGCGCCAACTCTATATTGCATAGACGCTACTATTACATCACTAGATGCAGCCATTATGTCCGCCTTATAGAGGTCAAGTGTAGCTGTACCACTCATGTACCCTCCCCCGTATATCCAAACAAGAATCGGTACATTAGGCCTTTCAGCTAAAGGCTTGTCCTGATGATGTCGTACTCGCAAATGCTGCGGTACCCAGATGTTTAAATACAGACAATCTTCCGAGATATTAGTATTTGGATTCCACATTTCTTCACCTTCGAAGCCAGGGAAATATTCATATCTTTCTTGGTAGCAACTGTTTGGCATGGATGTGGCTTCGAGGACGCCATGCCATGGCTCTATGGGGACAGGTTTACGAAACCTCAGGGGTCCTAGTGGTGGTTTAGCAAAGGGAATACCTGTGAATATATGCACTTCACTACCCATCACAGTTTTGGCGTAGCCCTTGACAAGACCGCTTTTCGTTTCAACGATGAGCGGATCGTTGTGGAAGTTTTTAGGTAATTGACTAGTAGTTGGAGTAGTGTGAGTTGTTGATGTTGTTGTGTCATGGTGGTTCGCCCATGATCTTGCCCACGCCGCGGTCACAAAACAACACAACAATAATTTGGTAAATACAATCCTATTCTGAGAAGTCATAGTGGCTTTTGAGTCCTCTTTACTTTAACGAGAAGTTTCACGTCGTAATCTGAAGAAGTCTGCGAGCTTGATTATGGAGTATTTGTTAAAACTCATTTCTTCACGCAACTCGCCAATAAGATTTACCTGAAAAAGAAAATATGTATTAGCAGATATTAAGTGAAATGTAGGATAATAAAGTAATGTTGTGGTAGTAAAAAGCGTAAATGTTGTACCTAAATAAATCTCATAAAATTAACTGATTACGGCTTTGGGTTATTGAAAATAAAGTAGATTTTAGGTTACGATAATAATCTAGGCCAATCCATTTCTGACTGCATTCTAATACAACCGCTTTGTTCAAAGATTAAGTTGAAAATGGTTAATATTTATTATTATTAACGTAAAACGTAGAATTAAATTAATGAACGTCGGGAATAATGTTCTTTATATATTATAAAGACGGTTTGTTCTAAAAAAAATTGGATACATAAGAAAATACAGAAATATCTGCACCATACCCGATTGAGAAGACATGCCAAACCAAAGTTCATCGGAACTCGAATACCTCCTAAATAGTTTCTTTATTCAAAATTAATTACTACTGGGTAGTTGATTCGCCGATTTTCTAAATACAATTTGTGTCAAATATATACAATTATTGTTTTGTTTATTATTATTAATTACTTAATGTCATGTGGAACATGGTGTAATGGTTGCAGCTCCTTACAAACGTTGTGTAAAAAAAAAATGGCGATTAAAAAGAATGGAGGAGAGTTTATTGGCAGTTCTTCTCTTCCGTTCTACGCCCTTGATTTGAGAACTGGCAGTAAATGTAAAATTAGAAGCATTAATATGTATTTCTTTACTGACGAGTCATAAGTGTACATAATGTTACCTATATGATTAAATGGTTTTTTACTTTTACTTTTGTACATACTAAATTTCACCTGAGCTACATTTTACCTAGGGTCGAGATATGTAACTCATTCGAAAACTACTCGCGCTAGCTAATAAATTGCTATGAACTTTTCGATAGCAAGGGTATTAGTTGATACGGTTTCAGACGTGGTTTATGACTTCAAATGGGAAATCGATGCTCTGTAAATGGAATAAGGGTTTTCTTGTCAATGTTAGACAATGTATTAATACGCCTTAGTAACAAAAGTTCAATTTAGTTCAGTACAACATTCGGTCCCCGAAAATATAAAGACGTATTAGAAATGACAATGATATGTGAAATATATAACATAATAGCAGCCCCCGCGAAATTAGTTTCTCCTTAATGTGATTTTACTTAGCCTACCTTTTTTAGTGCATACCAACATGGAACATGCTATGCTGTTTTCTGGAATGAAAAACTTTTTAGGTTTTTCTGTGATTTTTTCTCTATATAAACCTCAGAGTTAAAGTCATAAGATTTTAATTAACAAATAAAAAATGTGAAATGGTGAAAATTAGGGCTTGTATGTATTTTTATATGTTTAATCATAAAAAAATGAAAAAAATTTTTTTATCCAAATAATAAAAAAATCTGGGGTGGACACTGGACACCCCTTATCACTTAGGGATTTTAAAGATAGCCAATTCTCATACTTACTGAATATGCATAAAAATTTTCATAAGAATCGGTCGAGCTGTTTCGGAGGAGTATAGGAACGAACATTGTGACACGAGAATTTTATACATTAAATTATTATACCAACAAATAAGTGTAGAAGGGTAATCTAGGCATCGCAAGCATGTCACTCATGCTTGTAATAATCTCTCCACACGATAAGATAATCATTCTTTTTTTGATTTACATAGCGGGAATCCGATTGTTAAAAAAAATATATTATAAGGTATGTGACCTTTGCTTGCTTAAAAGGAGAGTGGGTATTTCACGATTGACAGTACTTTGATGTACATAATAAATGTACATCAAAGTACTTCCAATGAATAAAACAGTCCCATCATCAAACTCGAAAAGGTCAGCTTTGTGTCCGCGAAATAAACAATTATTATAACTTTATACTCGTAAGACTTACAGTCGAAAAATATAATCACTATCAAGCTAAGTCTTTATTCACATTTGAAATTTATAAATATTTTGCAATTTGTTTAATTTTGATAACGAAGGGACACTTTCATCGTTCAAAAAAAAAGATGAGCAAGCGTATATAATAATTAAATTTCATGTTTGTATTCATTTGTAGTTGATCCATCTTGCAATATATATTAAAACCCGTTGCAAAGAATTGAATAAATACTATGACTTTGAGTCTGCCTAATAGGATTTCCGGCGCTATTGATAGGCAATTAGCACTTATATCTTATATGAACTGCACATATAAAATTATTGGCTACAGCGATTCCAGACGTGCACCAAATGGTGGGAAAACTAAGCTAGGATTCCGTATATATATCGATCTCGCTTGCCAACGAGATGGACCAAGTCAAAGACTCGTCGTCCTCAAAATTATACACTGTTGTAAATGAAACGCAGGACCAAAATTGGTGGAGGAAAATTATTAGCGTCAGATATTACTATACAGCTGAACACGATACTAGACATGAGCTACCAATGCAGAGAGAGATCTTTATTACGTATATAATAAGGTCACGAGCGGCAACGCGTGAGCCATCTACCGCACCAGTCAGTCCACTGCGACTTGTTCTGCATATTGCTACACTATTTCGTTTTTTAATAGAAATTATGGTTTAAAGCACAATCAATCCATAAATAGTGTAATGGAAATATGATTTTTTTAGGATTGAAGTAAGTTCTACTTATTATTTGATTTCATGTTCTTCAAAACAAGAAATATAAATATAAACTATGCACTATACTAACACATTTTCAAAATATTATTCAATTTTTGAAAATTGTATCCCGCCATATGCTCTGTATTAACCCGTCATGTTCAAGCTTAAAAGCAGGAATTTTCTTAATAAATTTGGATTGAAAGCTAATATCGAAGTTAGTTCAGGCGAACCTACCAACTGTAGGTAGGCTGTACCTAGGATCACTTTGAACTTAGTGTTCATTAGTATCCGTTACTACGTTGCAATCAAGTCTGGCAACACATAAAACTGATTACATTTAAGCCGTTAATACATCGTAGATTGAAAATCTGTGGTTTTTGTTTGGGATTTGATTATAAACAGCAAAGAGGTTTTATAGCAGCACATAAAAAAGGAATTTAAAATGCATTATATATTTCTTGTCGACATCGTATCCCTAACATAATTTTGAAATTATCACTATCATACGTTATTATCATGATTCTATTCATCATTTATTTTAATTATTTATTTTGTTATTTTCTTTCTGTTTTAGTTTTAGTACTCGTATGTATATATTATGTAATATCTGCACTTTTTGCGCTCGCCTCATTGAATTTATATTTTTCCTTTAAGTTTGCTGAAAGCTCGCTCGGAGGCCGACAGTTTCCTCTTCTAGTTATTTAATTATTATGTGTACTGATGTTTATTTATTTACTAGTACATAAATAAGAGTTTTAGATAGTTTTTGCCCATCTTGCGGTCATCTTATATATATTTCCCCTTCTTATTATGCAGCCATATATATATAGTTTTAATATTTGTACCGATTTTTGCAAAGAACTATTAAATAAATGTATGTTTCTGTATGTAACGTATTCACTATGTACAGAATATACTTTAAGACAATTGACGAATAAAAGTCGCGAGAATCAGTCATATTATAATCTTATTTCACAAAGAAAGATTATACATTACAAAACTAATTTCATTAACATGACTGTGACAGCATGAAGAGGAAAATTAATGTTCAGCGACATAATCTCGGTTATTTATTTGAAGGAAACGAGAAAACTGTTACATTTGAACCAGCCTATAAAGAAAATTCGTGGAACGTATTTTAGGGTTATCACTTGATGGCTTAATTCATTTTTATTGGCAACCCTAACGACAGTATCATTCTGTGCGATATGTGGGAACGTGCGAAGAGCTTTGTGACAAAAATAATGAGCACTTTATTACATGGCTGTTAAATGAATTTATTAAGGCCTTGTTAACCCTAGGGATGGCAAAAGCACTGTTATACACAAATCATTTGTTTATTAACTGAGTAACCTCTTTGTGACCTACATTTCGAACTATAATTACAGGCAATTGTACCTATAAAAGTCCTCGTTTTATCATAAGTTTGCGAAGACTCTTTACTTTTTTGTGAACCCTTGTCTTAAAGGCTTACAAAGATTTTAAGAGAAGAAAAAGAAAAGCCTAACTAACAGAAATCACATTGTAAAATTAAAGTTTGGTAAAATTAAAAACCCAATTAATGTATGACATTATTCTAAGCCAATATAATTAAGTCTTGGCCCGTTCTCAAAGTAATAAATGAATTCAGTTCATGTATTCTCGAAACTTCTACAATACCTACTTGAGATCAGGCCGGGTCCTTCGGGAATGGTGTAAATTAACTTACGGTTACTCTGTATGCAGAATGTTGCGTCGAATAACTAGCTAACGACCCTACGGTACCCTTTCGTACAACTTTAGTAGAAGATGACAATTTATCTGCGTTAGGTAATTAGGTACTAACCATTAATATCATGTTGACATATGAGGAAAATTGCGAACATTGCGAAAAGGAACCTCATTTGTTGGAAGCACTGAAGTTCACACTAAAGTGATATTAATTATTTAATTTATAAAAGCTGGAAAGACTTTAAACTGCTTCAAGCTTTTTTGTTACATATCCTTCTGAAACTTAGTATTGATAGTAATTTAAAGCACCAGAATATCATGTATCTATTGCGTGTAATATAAAAATGTAATTTGAAATCATATAATTTTTATGTATAAAAGAGAATTTTAATTTTTATTAAGTAGCTAATAGATTAGTGACGTCACAGAAGTGATAAAAGCCGCTAAGTCTACGAGAAGAGGCCGCGGGGTGGGGTAAGAAGGCCTGGTCGGCGCGCGCCGCTCGATAAATCGATTCTGGCAATACAATGTGCGACGCGACGGCCTTGGGCGCTGCAGCCTGC